GCTGAGATGAAATACTGAGTACTTAATACAGAAATGCAGAAAGTACCTTCTGGACTGAAAGAAATCCCATTGTGAATGGCAACAGCATGGGTGCATTGCTGTTGAGGTGCAGTGGAAGCATGTTTTGGCCCATTAGGTGGCTGTGTTGCATTTTGAAGCAGTTTCTAGGTTGGAGAATTGTTACCAAATAATCCCACGTGGACTGATTCCACTGCAGCTGCACCAGAGTTAGCAACAATGGGAACCTTAGTATAGACAGCTTTCAGTTCCAGCAGCCGTTTTCAGCACTGTATCAGTTAACCCTGCTCTGAGGAGGGTTAATTGACACAGTACTGCAAATGGCTGACTAGATGAAAACTCATATATTATGCCTCCCAATATCTCTAACAATTGTGCAGCTGCATTCATATTGGCAATGGTGGGAATTTGGAGGAGGGAAGAAATTCCCCAGTGCAGACAAAGCCTGAGAGTGAGCCTTAATACTCTTTTCTGGATCTTTTTTGTCAGTCACAGTCATGCTTCCTTAAAACATTCTCAGAGCCATCTCCAGGTCGCTGATTATGAAGCAAGAGCCACTCTTGGTCCCACCAGCTGGATGAAAAGAGTGGAAGAATGGTGATACACCCTGGCCCATCTCATAGGTGCACTCAAGGTTCATGTGTCTGCTCTTCTCCTCCCTCTTGTATCCCCAAGGCAGCACATTCTAAAAGAACCAGGGAAAAACAAAAATTAACTTTTCCCACAAATGTAGACAATGTTTGCAAGATGTCCTTCTCCTGCACTGACTGGTTCTCTAGCAGCAGGGTATCAGGATTCCCAGGTCGCTGAGTACCCACTGTACCCTTTAAATACATAAATACCTTTGGCCTCTCTATCTCATAAATATCTGTGGTCTATCTGGCCACAGAAGTAAAATACCCACTCAAAATACAACCTTTCAGACATGGCAGCCTGTAGCCCTTGGTAGGCCAAGGCTCTAAGGAGTTTTCTGAGGCAGTGCAGAGTGTAAGCTTCATGAAATATGGAGGAAACAGTCAAAAAAATTCTTCTGAATTTTACCATCTGCTCTCCCGTTTCTGGCAAGACATCTCTTTCAGAGTTAAAAAACTGCTGCTTCCCTTGAGCTAAGGCCTTAAACTTACTATCACTTCCCCTTTTGAGTAGTTTGCACTCCAGGAGAACTAGGGTGGAGAAAACAGGACCCGCTAAAGCAGAGCAGAGCACTCCTGACTCTGCCCTCCTTTGTACATTGTGAGCAGGCATTATAAAGTTGGGGACACACTTCCTATCACACAGTTGGTATCACAGACCTTCAGTAGCAAAAAATAATTTTTTTAAAAAATATCAAATCTAAAATTTTTTTTAAATAAAATTTATTTTGTAAAAAATAAAGTTCTCTGCTTGTGTAAAGCACTACCAGTTGAGATCATCTGAGCTCACGGACTGGTGGAGTTAGTTGTACTTATATATGGGTTATGTTTGGCTGCTGTCTATAGGTGACATCTCCCTGTGACCATACAGCATGGTTTCTTCTGCATCCCTGGGTTTTTGAGAAAGGAAATAGATGAAGAAGTGGGCAAGGGAAGCTATTTATTGCTGCTGTTTATAATCTCCAAGGATTATTTAACCTGCAATTTTCCGTCTTTCTAAAAGATACTTCCCTGCAACCTTGCCTCTTTGTTCTGATGCACAATTTTACTGCTGCTATTAGAATGCACAATTTAAAAAATCTCCTCTGGGAAGAGAGGCCAGTTAAACCTCCACAAGCCATCAGACTGATTACAGAATAACAAATGGCCTCTTTATAAGAGTTCTGGGTTTAGTAGCAAAATCTGCACATTATTTTTCATTGTCTTATTCTTAATTTTCTAGGAAGTTCCTCTGATTTCTTTGGAAATGCCCTGAGTTTAAGACTCATGGAGACTAGAAATCAGGCCAGATTTTATGTCTATAAATTTCCTATACTGTTATGAATTGTTCCAGAAAACAACAACAACAAAAAAAAAACCCCTGATAATTAATACTTCTGTTAATAGACCAAAGCTTCAATCCCAGACCAAAGGTGGTGGAAAGTAGGTCATGTCTACTCCAGTGACTTTGCAGTAGTCCCTTTGATTAATTATAAAGTTGTATTCACTGGTGTTTGCACTGAATATTGTGCAAATACAGCTATACTGTCAGAGAATGGATTGGAACAGTGGAAGGAACAGCTACCACATCTCTTTTGGGAAGGAACCTGGAAAAAAATGAAAAGCTGTTTCTGGCTCCTCAGCTTCCATCATCCACTTGCAGAAGTCAGGCTTTCTTGGTTCTGGATGTCATGTTGCTTACCTGGGTTAAGGTACTCTGTATATAAAATGACATAAGAACAAGTTTTTTGATGAGTCTAGACAGTTCTGTATCCACAGAGTTGCCATAAGGAATATCAGTATCAAGGAATTGATTTGTTGTCTAAGCACTTTTGGTTAAGGAGGGAATCAGGATGGTTTCAAAGAAATGAAAGACCCATAGCTGTTTAGATCTTAGATACTGATTCTTATGATGGTGAAGCTGTAGTCAGAGTAGAAAGACCCAAACTCTGTTGTGTTGGGCACAGTGCAAGGATCAAGGCTCTTCTTGTCCAGAACAGCTTTTGAACAGTGAGCTTAGGAATACTGATCTCATGTGAAAATTATTTGCTTATGGCTGTATGTAAAAAGTCTTTGAACTATAGCATTTTTACTAGAACTGCTCAAGGGAAGACTAGTGGTACAATTAACAGCCCATACAGGATGGTTCTGTAGGGACGGATGTTTTGGAGCAACAGGCTTTTACCAATTGCATGTAACACTTTCTTCCAGAGAAATGGACACATGAATATGCTTTAAAGAGATTAATGGATGTTATAAAAGTTGTGTGCTGCTGCACTTTAAACTAAAGACTTCACAACCTCCATTTGGAATCCTGATGGCATACAGCAGCTTATTCTTTTGATGTATAGAATAGACGTAGGGCTCTGTGGATTTCTTCATGGTGTGATGGGAACTGAATATTTTACAAAATGCAGTGGGACTACAAGGCTTTTCTGATAGCTGTTAGATTGAACAGGTGGACTGTGTCTATCTTCCATAGCTGGTTGCTTTTTGGGATGGGAGTGAAGCAGGCTTTGGGATTCTTGTGATTGGATTAAGAACACTTTGGCAATATTTTCAGCCTTAAGAAAGTGTTCTAGGATTACTCTTTCTTTAGCCCATCTGTCTGCAGTGTACTTTTTCTATTCCATAGGAAATAACTCAGCTGTCTTCTCAGCACAGTCCTTGCTGGTCAATGACTGCATGTGTTTGGTTGCAGTAACTTTCTGCCTGTTTCCTTATTTATCAGTAGAGATCAGAATTTATAAGGTGTCAAGAAAACTGGCTGTATTTCGATAGCTTGCACAAGGAGTGTTGCAGCAGTATCTCTGCCCTCTTCAGTATTATATACGATAATGCAACTTTTCCTTCTGACCACTGTCCTGCGCTTGTCCAGCCCCGAGTAGCGGAGAAAGGATGTCACCAGACAGTTACAGGGGTGGCTGTCCGCCAAGGTGCAAGACCTTGTGGGAGGAGTGGGGCTGGAGGAAATGCCCAAGCTGCACATGGAGCCCAGGTGTGAACATTTTTTTTGGGGGGGACGCACGGTCAGGGGGGTGCTCCCTGGCCGTTGTGGCCATCTCCTTGTGGCCACAGCGGAGGGGCGCCTAACCACGGCTCGCACGGGAGCGGACCGAGCACCGGCGGAGGGAGAGGGCTGTGCTGGACATCCTGCCTGCGGGCTCTGGGAAGAGGCGCAGCCTGCGGCCCCGCCATGCTCGTAGGAAGAACAATGTCGGGGCAGGGCTCTCCGCAAGGTCGTTCCCCAGCCGTCACCCTCCCGGCAGGACAGCTCCGACCCGCTGTCGGGTTATACCGCCCACATCTTACCGCGGCGGCGGCCGTCTCGCGAGGCGCCCGGCCCGCGCCCCGATGGCAGCGGCCGCCG